TGGTATACAGTATTCGTTATACTGTATTCGGATTTCCAACACTCCCCCTTGCTGTAGGTTTTAGTGAATCCGTTTTCCTTGGACGATGGGGTGGTCGAGGTGGTGTACCACCACAAGGTAGGGGTGCGCCCAAACCAAGTTAGGGTTTGGTGTTGGCCAAGCTGCTTGTCACTGTAGCACCTTTCCCCTCCCAACCTTTGGGCCTTCCAAACCACATGCCTTCACGTTTTCCATTCCCTCCTTCCAATCTCCTCATTCTAGATCGAGATCTAGAGAGTAGTGGTTGATGCTGAGGAAATCGTAGCAGCTCCATGGCGTAATCTCCTCAAAACCATGGCGGAATGCGCGTATCGTCATGGCGGAATGCCCTGAGCGCACGCCGAATTTCCGAAACCGTAGACTTGACTACACGCGATTGTCAATGCTGCTGTCTTTTTCGCACGCCTCCTGTGCGACGACGCAAAACCGCAGCGGATGCGCGTCTGCGACGACTGCATCTGCGGATGACGCGAATCGGTAGCAGATAACACAGGGCGTGCGGCTGGCGCGGAACTGCATTGGTGGGCGCACACTTCGCGCGACAGAAACGACGACTTGTCGTTCATCAGCAGCTGTCGATCTGCTGCGCGTCTGCTGCATCACTTTCGTGTCCGCGCTTGCTGCATCTTCGTAGGCCTTTCTCCCCATGCTTTGGCAATCATGCCAAGTTTGCTCAAACTTCACCTATGTTGTCATGTGATGCTCCCCATACACTCCAGTCGACACACGGTAGTAGCCGGAGTTGCCGAACTTCATCAGCTCGAGGGTTGCGCATGCCGACGAACTCCAAGTATCCCAGAGAACTGTACTCCATATATGCAGAAACGTCCTCTTTAAGTATGCAGTGCACACCAGGTATGCAGAAATGTGCACACCAGGTATGCAAAAGTGTCCACACCAGGTATGCAGAAATATTTTCTCCCATGTAGATTCTCCGTTCTTCCCTCGCGGTTGTGCCGTTCATCAGCAGTAACCAGTCGTACAATACCGCTCCAGCACGACGGATGACGACCGGCTGCATCCATTCTGCCTGCTCCCCCTGCCTATTGACAACCCTTGGTGAGTAGGTCTTCCCCTTATGCTTCTTGACTCCATGTCCCACTCCTATGCCACCAGACATACTCCACACCCCACCTCCCGCCACCCATGTGCTTGTAGTGATCCGCGTACACAGCTACAAGCACATGAGTGAGTGTGAACTTAGGTGATGCCATGTTGTGCCGCACCGTTCGAGGTGGCCGCACAGATGAGTACAACACTAGAATCCTTGACTTGATGATTGCCTTGACCAACCAGCAGATTGCAGGTGAGATGCTGCTTGCTTGGCTTGTCCACCTCATTTCCCACATCATCATTTTCCACTCCTTCCGAAATGGAAACACCAGTCACAGGTACGCCATCAGCTGTACCTCCGCTTCCTTCAAGTGCACTGACTTCATCAGCTACATCAGCTCCAGGTAAGTCTTGTTTTGCATATTCTGCTCCTTCGCCTTCATGTCCTTCAATGGTCGAGAATGCAGGAACCGAATCCACTACGGACCTGTGTCCTCCTCCCCCTGAAGTCCACATTACACAGTGGGGTGAGACTTCATCCGTATCAACATCATGTGCCGGATTCCGTACGACGCATGCTTTGTGTGCCATGCGATATGTGACAGACGCATGTGCAGACTGGCCACTCAAGCGCACTCCAGGTGTGCGGGGATCCGTGCTCCCAGGTGCGTCCATGTGCACACCAGGTGTGCGGAAAAGGGTAACCCCCTCACGATCAACCTGATGCGATGACGCGTCATAACGGGAATGTCCAGGATCATGGGCGGATGTAAGTGCATGCGCATATTGCACCACGAGCACTCCATCCACGTTCTTAGCAAATCCAATCCGCACGTACTCCTCTCCATCTTTCATGGTGACCTCCGTGTCTCCATTAGCAATTGTATTGATGTGCGCTCCCTTTTTCAGCAGCTGACAATAGGAGAGCAGGTTACTCTTCAAGCCAGGTACGTAGAGGACGTCAGTGTACCGAACTGTTGTCCCATCAGGTGTTGTTGCTCTGATCGTTCCTGTCATCTTGCTGCTCAGCTCGCTCCCATTAGCAAGCTCCACATAAACAGGTTCGTCCAGCTCCCTTAACTCTTCAAACCAGCTCTTGTCCGAAGTCATGTGCTGGCTGCATCCACTATCCAGCATCCAAGATGACGCTTTAGCTGGCGGTAAGGTAGCTTGTGACGATCCCATCATTGCAATGCACGTAACAGTACGTTGTTTGTCTTCCCCGGCTGCCCCTTGCTGTTTTGATGCATTGTTGTCACGTTTGGGGCTGCAACTCCTTCGTGGGGAGGACGAACGGCTGTCGCTGGTGTGCAGTTTTGCCTTTCCGCGGGTATGCGGTTCCCACCCTGGTGGTATCCACCCAGGGGGTGCCTTGGTACACTTGAAGAAAGGGTGGCCAGGCTCCTTGCAGTACCAACACACGAGAGATGAGCGACTTGCATCTCCATCCTTGCCATGCGTTTTCTCCCCAATTGACCCCTCCTTCCCGTTATTGCCCTTTGCAGTTGGAGAAGGTGAGCAGTCTCCACGTGCTTGTCCAACCATGCGAGGTGGACGCCGGTCACGGTTATCCTTTGTGATGAGATCGTGATATCTCTGCTCCCGAATCATCATCCGCTGCAAAGTGAAGCTGTCCGTCACGTTGTGCAGCATTGCCGAGTGCCTCATCTCCTCCCAATGTGCCGGTAGTCCGGTGAGCAGATTTAAGGTGAATGTGTCCTCATCCACCATCTTTCCCGCCAGTGCCAACTTGTCCCGAATCGCCGTTGCGCGGTTCACATACTCCTCCACCCTCTCTTGATTCCCCATTTTCAGGTTGTCCAACTGCTTCATGAGAGAGACCTTCGCCACCGAATCTTTGGCCTGGTAAGTGTCCATCAAATACTCCCATGCTTCATAAGCCGGGCTGTAGGATTCCTGGAACATGTCTAGCTGTAGTTGAATCGTGGCGCTCACGCTGTGCAATAGGACCCAAAAGGCGAGTGCCGCACGCTGGGAGTAATCCGCCTGTAGCATTTCCAGCCGCCCCATAGCGTCGTCAATGTCACCATCTCCCATGGTAACCGGATACTGCAGGGTCACAAAGAACTCCCACAGATTCGTGACGCGAGCGTTCATACGAAACCGTAGTGCCCACTCCCGGAAGTTCGAGCCATCAAACGGAGTAGTGGTGAATGCTTTGTCCACCGTTGCTCCCACCATTTTGCGTGACAGCCGTTCCTTGTCTTCTTCCGTATATTCACGTGGTGCAGGGTCGAAGAGAGTAGGCATGGTTGACGGTCGAGGTAGTTGTACCGTGCGCCGCATATCTCCATTCTGTCCACCAAGTTGACGTTCCAACACTTCCACTTGATCCCGTCGCATGACACCACTTGACTGCATTCCGTATCCCATCCGCCCCATGCTGTCCACAGAGTGTGCGCTGATTGGTGGATGATGTGCATGTGGAGGGATGATGTTGTCGCCATGAAGGTGAGACCTGGGCATGGGAAGAACTCCAATGGGATGAGAGTTAGTCGCAAGTCGTCGTAGTGGGGGAGCACCAATAGTGTAGGAGGCAAATCCCACACCTTCCATGCCCACTTCACCATTTCTGTCACCCTGATGCCCAATCTGTCCACTTCTCGTTCCACCAAGCACTGCACTCCGATACTCATCATTCCTCCCCCGTGCTTCCCTTTGCATGGATGATTGAGGTGCGGAATTGGCGATCTCCTCTCCTTGGACGGATGCATCCCTCCATTGGGATGACTCTCCTCTTTCCCCTTCACCATCAATTCCTGCATGAACATTTGCACGAGTTTGGTTAGTACGTGGAGTGCTTGAATGAGATTGTCCATGGGTGGACGGATTGCTGAACTCATGAGAGAGTTTTGCTCTTGGCTGAATTGTCATTCCAAACTTGTCCCTTAACGAAGCTTGGAGAGTTGGTGGTGCCCTTGCAATCATGCTTTCCAGGTGCTCATGCTGAGCCATGATGGCTTCTTCAAAAGCCGCATATCCAGGATCCACTTCGCCATCGAAGTGCGCCATGACCTTGACAAAACCGTCCACCAAGTGTGCGGTAAACGCGCGGTTGTAACCAACAGCGAACACCAGGTGTACGAAAGCGTAGACCGGGTGTGCGGTACTCTGACTGTATGCAGGTACCTATCCGAAGTGATTGCTAACAACTTTTATGGACCAACTTTGGCAGCATGCCCCCTAGAGTAGCTCTGATACCATGCTAGAAAGGCATAGTGCCAGCGTAGCGGAAACGTGTTTGTAGAAAAGAACAAGATAGAAATCTTGCATTGATCATTGAAAAGTAAAAGGATGACACAATGAGTACTCAATGATGTGACACAGCAGGGTACATATGCATCCAGCTACCCCTCCAGAATGACCCATTCACACCAATAATGGTGTACCAATAATTGTACCCTCTACCCTCCAATAATGCTGACCTCCAATAATTCTGGCCCTACAATAATTGTGACAATTATTGTAGGAGCTGGAGGCTTATAAAGAGGACTACACTAAAACCAAACAGCACACTGGTATACAGTATTCGTTATACTGTATTCGGATTTCCAACAGATTACAACCCTTTTAGGGTTTCCCCTTTTGTACTCCCCATGCCTGCTAGTGAAATCATTCATGCCTCACTCTGACATGTATAACTACAAATGACCTGTTTAGCGTACAACGCTATGTTGGTCTTCAACTGGGGGGGTCTTTTATCCGGATTCTTTTAGCATACGTACCTACTACCTATCTTCAGACCATATTACTCACTACCAGTTTTCCCTCATGGGGCGAGTTCCATTTAAGAGGGCCATGTCGAAGTCCCTTGTCTGATAATATGAAAACAGGGGGAAAACGCAGAACGGTCCGTACACCCTAAGGATGACGTTTTCAGAAAACCTCTAGGAAATCATGTTATGGTACGTGTATTGTATTTCAACGTCTGCCGTGGACCTGTTCTGGAGGTGAAGATGCAGCAGTGAGGGGGAGGTTGCCTTTGTGTGGCCTGCAGAGCGAGCGACATCATCCATGTGAACGGCAGGTGACGGGCACTGCCATGCATGAGAAAGACGGCAGGTGACGGGCACTGCCATGCATGAGAAAAACGGCAGGTGACGGGCACTGCCATGCATGAGAAAGACGGCAGGTGACGGGCACTGCCATGCATGAGAAAGACGGCAGGTGACGGGCACTGCCATGCATGAGAAAGACGGCAGGTGACGGGCACTGCCATGCATGAGAAAGACGGCAGGTGACAGGCATTGCCATGCATGAGAAAGACGGCAGGTGACGGGCACTGCCATGCATGAGAAAGACGGCAGGTGAGAGGCAGTGAGTCAAGGTGCAGAGGCAAGTGCATGTGAGAGGAAGAGGCATGAGCATGATGCCAGAGCAAGGGTGGTTGATTGTCCATCCAGGCAATACCTCAGAGCAAGGGTGATTGCTGTGAGTGGCCATATGGTTCCACCACTTACCGCTACATGGACCTCGTTGCTTCCTGCCCCTCCTTCACCCTGCACAAGCTGCAGCTGCATATGCCTCGGCACACCACGCACTGCCACTTGGAATCAGCCAGAGCCTCCGAAATGCTCTCTCGGTACCTAAAAGTGCATGTGTAGGTGCGGCGGGGCAGCACATGGCATCGTCATCAATGCGTGACAATGTGTCTACGTAACAGCATGGCAACAAGTATGTGTGAGAAATGTGGCAATATCTGATAGTACGTAACAGTATGTGGTAAGATGTGCCAATACTTGAAACAAGTGGCCATAGTGGCAATCGGAGGCGATTCCAATCAGTAGAGGCAAGGTGGCAATGGAAGATATACGTTAAAGACTTGACTGTAGCGGCAATTGTGGCAACATTTGATGCGCTGCATCGCAATGATGGAAAGGGCACCTGGAAAGGAGGCACTAGAGCGGCAAGGGTACCTGAAAAGGAGGCACTAGAGCGGCAAGGGTACCTGGAAAGGAGGCACTAGAGCGGCAAGGGTACCTGGAAAGGAGGCACTAGAGCGGCAAGGGTACCTGGAAAGGAGGCACTAGAGCGGCAAGGGTACCTGGAAAGGAGGCACTAGAGCGGCAAGGGTACCTGGAAAGGAGGCACTAGAGCGGCAAGGGTACCTGGAAAGGAGGCACTAGAGCGGCAAGGGTACCTGGAAAGGAGGCACTAGAGCGGCAAGGGTACCTGGAAAGGAGGCACTAGAGCGGCAAGGGTACCTGGAAAGGAGGCACTAGAGCGGCAAGGGTACCTGGAAAGGAGGCAGTCGGCGCAGACCTGGTTCCTCCCCGCCCGGCACGCCGTACAGCGTGTGGTGCGACCCGTTGTCATGGCTCTGATAGGTGCAGCGATGTGCGGGGGCCATGTGACGGGGGCATGTGACAGGGGCATGTGAGGGGACGTAAAAGAAAATAGCAGGGAGGGGTGATATAAGGAAGGGGGGCTCTACAAAGAGCATTGGGAAGGAAATATGGGGAAGCAGGATGGGGAGAGGCGATACAATGAAGAAGGCAGTGGAAGGGAGGAGCATGGCGAGGGGCGGCAGAGAGACGATGCTTGGATGTCCCGCTGCCATCTCCGTCCCACCACTGCCTCAGCCAGTCCTTCACCCCATTGACTCTCGTTTAACACAGCAATCCCTTCCCCCATCACCGCAAACAGCTTCTGCAGGCCGTCTGGTCGCATCTCTTGATTCCTGGCGAGCCCACCTGTTGTTTCAGTGAGCACTGGGTGCGGGCTCAGCGGCACGCTGCAGCTCAAGATGCTTGATGCCCGCAACTGCCAGCAAAGGAGCAGCCCTGGCCGCATGGTCCACAGCAGCAACACAACTTAGGCACTGCTACCAAGGAGACTCACGCTATGCCATATAATGCTTACCCTGCTTTCCATGACACGCATCTTCTTTCTCCCAATGCAAACGGCTTTGATGCCGCGTGCCTAATCTTCCTCGTGGTCACGCTGAGCTGAGCTTTGCTCCACTCAACGCTCTTCCCATTCGCATCCCCTCCGCGTTCACCACAGCCAGGCTCCCCTACGCGGACAAGTGACTGTGGACAGGCTTTGAAGAATGTTCCGCCGCCACACCAAGGTTGTCAACACCCTCGTTTGCAGCACACTCACCTGCACTGGTGGCAGTAGCGCCACGTGCGGCTGTCTCTCAAGCGGAAGCCGTGCTCATCGCACCCCTCCCTGCGCTGCTCATCGCACCCCTCCCTGCGCTGCTCATCGCACCCCTCCCTGCGCTGCTCATCGCACCCCTCCCTGCGCTGCTCATCGCACCCCTCCCTGCGCTGCTCATCGCACCCCTCCCTGCGCTTCTCCCACGCGCCCACAGCCCCTTGAGGCCCGGCCTCATCGTCCACTGTGTGCCGCACATGCATGGCTTCTTCATGCCTGTGCTGCATGAAGCCGCCACCACCATCACCACCACCAGCCCCATCGTCCTCCATGCTCTTTTCCCTGTGCCGCGCCTCACCCTCCCCTCCCTGTGCCTCCCTTCCCTGTGCCTCCCCTCTCTGTGACTTCCCCCCTGCTTGCGGCACCACAGTCTCTCCATTGGAAACGAAATCCCTCGGCGCCCACAGCAGCCTACCATTGCCTTTCCCCCCCTCGTTTCCTCCCTCTCTTGAACTCTGCCCTTCCCCTCGTGTACTTTGGTCCCCCTTAGTCACCGCGCCCACCGCCTGCCAGGGCAGCATGCGGGCGCCAGCGGCAGTGAGGAAGGGCCGCGAGGCCCACACCACCGCACATTCGCGCCCCTTGCCCTCCCTCCCCGCCTCCCTGCCTGCCCCGCCTGGCCCCCTCTCAGGGCTGCACCGTCCCTCCCCGCCGTTGCTGCTGCCTGCCGCGCCCCTGCATGCGGCGCTGCTGGTGTCACCGCCGCCATCCTCCTCGCCATCTGCCCCACTGCACTCACGCTCATGCCCTCGCCTCTGCAACACCACCCGCACTTGCCTGTGCACAGCTGTTTGTTCTGCACTTCCCCCCACTCCACTGTGCTGCACCGTGCCGTGCCGCACTGCCACCTCCACTATCCCCACCGCACCCCAGAGGAACGGCTTGGGAACCCACACCAGCCCCTCACTGCCTGCCCGCCCTTCCTTGTCCTCCTCTCCTTTCTCTGCGCCTCTCCCCTGCTGCTCTCTCCACCTAAGCTGCTCCCCTTCGCCACCCTCTCCCCCCTTGCCCACCACCATCCCCCTCGCCTCCCCCCCCTGCTGCCATGCCGTCGCCACGCGGCACAGGAACGGCCTGGCCCTCCACCCCACCGCCACGCCGCCGCTGTCATCCGCCACCTCCCTCCGCGTGCCGCCTGCTGCTCGCCTCTCTGCCCCTCCCCCACCGCACTCCTCCCACTTGCACTGCTGCACTCGCCCCCTCCCTGCAACCTCCTCGCTCCCTTCACCCGCCTCTCCCCGCTCCCGCTGCCCCCACAGCTGCTGCACAGCACTGCCCCCGCCAGGGAAGAAGCGCCGTGGCACCCACACCAGCACACCCGCGCCCTCCTTGCCACCGCCGCCCCCCTCGCTGCTGCCACCTCCCGGCCCCCCAGTGCTGCCGCGTGGGCTGCCGCCACCGCCATGGCGGGCGTGCAGTGCGCCGCGTGCACCCACTGCAGCGCCGGGGGCGGGCGGCCTGGCGGGCGTGGCGGGTGCGAGGGGGCGGCGCGTCTCACAGTAGTCCACTCGCCCCACGGCCCTGGTGGCAGGGGGAGGCGGGCAAGACAAGCAGCGGTAGGGGGGCAGGTGAGGATAAAAGTGGGACGAGAGGGCATGAGGGGCGAGAGGGCATGAGGGATGATGGAGGGAGCAGCGATGGGGCAGCAATGGGAGGCCATGGCATTCCTTCCCTCATGCAGCCACGCGGCCAACTGCCACCGCCGCTCCTTCCCTCCTCCCGACTCGCCACCTCACAAATGCCGGGCATCCATCAGCGCGGTACCTCGCTTGTCCCCCACCCGCCTCAAAGTCCCTGCGCGCCTCATCCCTCCCGCGCGCCTCATCCCTCACGCGCTCCTCATAACCCCCCCGCGCCTCTGTCACTACCTGCTGGACCGCCGCCGTAAACCGACGGTCTCCACGGGTGACGTAAGCGCTGACGTCTTTTGCCGTTTCGCCAACGTGTGCTGCTGCCGTGCGGCCCGCTTCAGCTCGTCCGCTTCCATCCGCAGCTCCGCCACCAGTCGCTGCGTCTCACGCACCTTCGCCAGTCGCCGCGCCTCGTACGCCGTCGCAGGCGCCGCACACGACGTACCGGCGACAGCGGAGTCGCTGTCAGTCGTAAACGTTGACTCCTGTCGCATGTCGCCGTGACTCGCATCAGTCGCAGCTGGTCGCGCGTCGCTCGATTCGCTGGAATCGCTCGAGCGGCTCGAGCCGCTCGAATCGCTCGAGTACGAATGGGCGGAGTGGATCTGTTCCGCATCGGGAATGATTGGAATCGCAGCGCTGACACTTGCTGCGGCCATGGCGGGTGGACTCGTGACGCCGACGGCTGCGGGAATGGCAGCGCGAATTCACTGGTGGCCTGACGAAAGCGGAGTGAAGCACTAACCAGCTAGGCAAGCACTAACCGCCCATGTGTTGTTCCATCCTAGCTTGCTGATTAGGTGCGAATTTGCAGCAGACTGGACACAGCACGGGTTCTTAGGACCATAGGCGGGACCCTGGAAATCCCTGACCCGTTATTGTTCGACTCTTCACATCGCAGTCCGTGATTTTTTTTTGTTGGATGTACAATTATTATTAAACATAGGTACATCCGCAGGCGTATGGTAACTGTAGGCTTGGGAGGCGTGAGCCCCGCTAACAAGGCAGTGCCTATCCCCCCTATACCATCTACGGGGGCTGATAAATTGTCCTCGGGATTCGCCAGATGGACATTGTTGGAGTAATTGAAGGTTTGTCCTTTGAGTTCGAGCATATGATGGAGGGCGCCCAAATCCTTGACTTCTTCGACGGTTCCCTGCCATATCCAACGCACGGGACACAGTACGACAAGCAGCAATACACATATCAGTCACTCATGGCATACATTATACTCCTACGAGCAGTAGAACATCCGATCTTATCGCGGATACGGTAACTCCGCCGAGCTCGCGTTCAACCACCTGAAGAACCTATATCAAGCAACCGACAGCGTCAATCAAAGTCGTCTCATGGCGCAATTGACAGCGATTCAAACGCAACCGGGCGAAAAGGGGATGGCATATATCAGTCGCTGTTGCGGTCTGCGCGATAGACTCCTTCGATGCGGCGGATCAATATCCAAAGAAGCTTTCGTCACTATCGTTATCACAGGCCTCGGTCCTCAGTGGCGCTCCACTCGAGCTACCGTCATACCCCGGATATAAGCGCCACCCGCGGATAAGCGTCTGGCGCTTTTAATTGGCGTGTGGCGCTTATCTCCGGTGCTCTATTATACCTAAAAGGCTTACGGATTATAACCGCATACCACCTGTGCCTTACACTTTATAACCGCCACCCGGTTCTTTTTTGTTTTTTTTCCATTTTAAGAATTTTTACATAATTAATCTACTAAAACATCATCTTAATT